GCTTGAAATAAAGTATATCAAACTTTGACTCTGGCTCACACCCTATCGTTTTACACCACACCAATCGCTGACGATCCTCTAATTTTGCGACTCCCTGTCCAATAGCAACTCGACCTCAGACTTATACTTGATACTTGCAGAAGAGTAGCAGGTAGATCAGACAGCACTCCACGAATGCTCCAACCCTTTCAAAGTGTGCTGCATTTATTTCTATTCTTTAATCGTCTGAATGATGTAGAAGAAGATCTGTTTCGTCTGATCGATGTTGATACGTCAGTATGATCACGATCAGGATTCGAACACCACAACTCTAAATTCTATGTTTATGTGTATGTGTTCTAGAAAGATATCAGAAAAATCAACTCTGATTTTCTACAAAAATAATCTTCCTAAGGCTTTGAATAAAATCTGAATAATAATGTAAAAGTCTTGAATAAACTAATGTATGTGACATGGTTTATATAGAGTATAGAATGACCTAATCCATTTGAAAATAAGGTAAATTTCGTGCATAAGATTTGGTACAATTCTAGACCAACTGGGAATTTATTCAGAAAAAAGAAACTTAAGTTGTATTGCAAACAGGACATCTTGAATCGGTTCAAGGAAGTTGAACCGGTTTAAATTTGGCAGTGTATCAAACTTGAATATTTTGAACCGGTTCAAGGAAGCTGTACCGGTTCAAGGTTGGCAGACTTGAATTTTGAATTCTTGCAGCCTTGTTTCATTCTACGAGTGCAGATCAACATGGTAAGTGTAGAATGTCCAACCTTGTTCATTTTCCTTCCTATAATGGTGTTCTTATCCTCTTTCAAATTTTGTAATCCCTGTCAACCTCGATGACTTGTAAAACAAGTATTACAATTACAACTCAACTTGGACTTGTTATGTCTACGATAACTGCCAAAAAATAATTAATATCTCACAACTTCCAGAACTTGGTTCAAATCCATTTCTTCACTCTGCCTTGATCCTATCCTAGAACACGTGTCTTCCAAAATTTCTGTCTTCGTCAATGAATGAAGAACTGATGAAGCAGGAGAGGTTAAACAAGCAGTTTTTGATATGCAGCCCCTAAAATCACCTGGTCCTGATGGTACTGCGATGAATGAAGAACTAATGAAGCAAGTCACAGAAGAGGAGGAGGTTGGTTGTTGTTGTAGTTGGTTTTTTTTTTTTTGTCCTTCGCAAATAGGCAAATTAAAATTTAGAAAAAAATTGACTGTAAATACCGAAGAGTTATAAATCATGAATTTTTTTTCCATTAATTGAACTAAAATTTAGCCCTGATATATACAATTATACTGAAATTAGATGGAAAACCAATTATAACATTACCGATTTTTCCTATTTTCTAATTTTTAGAATTTATTTAACTTCTCTGGATTATTTTAATCCTTGCCTCGTTTTTATGCCACGCGGGCCCAGAGGGGCGTTTTGGTCAATTGTTGAGCTGAGGGTTTTAGAAGTGTATTTTCAATCATTTTAAGTCAATTAAAAGTAACGGTTTCATTTTTAGATTTTTTTTCAAAAGTCGGGACGATTTCCGGACTAGGGAACTTTCCCTGGTTTTCTTATCTTAAGTGAGGGGCGTTATTGGCATTTCACATGTGTGTGTGTATATTGATATGTATTCTTTGAGAGGATATTTTGGGGGTAGGCATGTTATTACAATGGAAGACCATGGACTAGGAGGTAACTTTGCCCAAAATTAGTAATCCACAAGAATTGGACAAGTGGCACATTATTGGCCTTGGGAGCAAAGTGAAAAATTAACCTAATTTCCTCCTTCTCTTCATTCAGCCGAGACCACCTCTCTCTCTCCTTAGTTTTTCCTTTTCTTCTCTCTATATATTTATACATCTATATACACTTATTTCTCCATTTTTGTAAGCTTGATTTGAGGTGTTTAGAGTGAGGTTTTGGAGGTGATCAAGAAGGGATGTTGGAGAACTTGGCATGAGCTTTCATTAGAGACCAAAGGTGAAAGGGCTTGGAGGATTTCGAAAAAATTTAGGGTTTTTCTTCTATTTGAGGTAGAGTTTATCTAATTGTCGATTTCCTTGGAATTGGTAGTTAATTAGATGACTTTCCCTCCTTTGACATGCCAATTTGATGTTAATTGAATAATGAAGATTTTAGGGTTTTGGTTGATGCATAAGCTTTGCCTAATTAATGTGTTTGATGGAAATTAATTGTTTATCTTGTGTATGAATTTCAATTGACATGCTATGAAGTTGCTATATGGTGGATTATCTCTATTACTCTTTGTATAGTCATTTTGATGTCTATAGAAGCATGTTTAAGTGTTGGATTATCTTGTTATGGTTGTGAAATTGCTTATTGGATAATGAAAGCATGATGAGAATTTGAATGGTTGAAATCAAAATATTTCATATGCATGTCATGAGGGTATTGATGGGTATAAGAGAGGTGAGGGTGTGAATGTGATGTGTGGATGTGTGGATGTGTGGAGGGGTGAATGAAATGTGTGGGTGTGTAGGAGTGTGGAAGTGATGCGTGGACATACGATGGTATAGACGGAATGTGTGATTATGTGAGGGTAGAGTGTGATGTGTGGTTGCATTGGCATCTTGTGCATAACATTGACTATGATGGTGTGTGAATTATTTAAAAATTGAGGTGTCGTATGTGAATCCCTCGCATGATCCCCGTCTCTTTTTCCTATTCATTGCTTGTAAGGCATGTAATTATTTACCATGCTTGAGGAGATGCCACTTAGATATTCTCTACTAAGCCTTGTGCTCACTCCTCTACTTATTATCATTTTTCAGGGATTGAAGATGAGCCGGTGAATAATATACATCCATGGATATCAATGTAGATAGGACTTCACTTTTATTTATAACAAAGCTATGTAAATTTTGGCCATAGAGGCCTTACTCTTGTATTTAATTCCTTTAAATTTTGTATAAAATGAGACTTACGTAGTTCGGTCTTTAAATGATGTATTGGAATGTGTTATGTATCCTACAAAAATTTCGTTATCAATAGAAATTAAGTTTTACTCACCCAGAATCAGTTTGTGTGTATTTTAAGTAACGTGCGGCAAGTTACGTAATAACGTGGTTGTTGTACTCGAATTTATTGTTGAAATGTATTAATTTTGCACGTAAATGTTGTGACGTGGGTGATTGAATGATCAAAAGTTGGTGTATAGGGGTTACACAAGACAGTGAAAAGTGGGAGTGAAGATTTTCTAGAAACCCAAACCGGTCGACCGGTATCTTCACAGTATGTTTGAGCATTTCACGTCCGGTATCCGTTGGAACTTATGTTCAGAACCAGTCGACTGGTATCCCAAACTAGTCGACCGGTATCATGGCAGTGGGTTTTCCCACTGTTCATATCCCAAACCAGTCGACGTATAAGGAGTATATGTCGACCGGTTCTGCCTTTTCATGTAATTACCAATTTAAGTTCTTAAAATTACACTTTGGCATCATTTGAAGTTGAAATTAATTATTTTTATGACCCAATTAAATGCCATAATTATATTTTTGCCCCAAAAGAACTATTTTACCCCGGACCTCATTTTAATTATTATGTGATGCAAGTAAATGGCCATATTACCCTTTGAGTCTCAAATTATTGAATTGGGGCAAATTACCATTTTGTCCTTTTTGGACCTTGATAATTAAATTAAACGTGAAAAGACCGTTTTACCCTCAGATGATTTTGGGTCGGATAAGGACCCGTTTAATGATCCGGATCCAGTGGATTCGGGTCGTTACACCAATAGAATTAAAAAGTTTGGATTGGCCCAATTCAGGAATTTGACATCTCAAGAAATACATATGATGCATCCATCCTTGTAATACCAAAAAAAAATCCATGACCCATGGATTATGCTTTTCAGTGTTAATTTACAATCAGTTTTTTGTCCTTCGAAGTTAAATTTTCTCAGTTTTTGTGAGACATTTTCTATGCAATAAACGTTATGATTCCATAAGTTACCTGACTTTCATGATTTAAAATTTTTTTTAAAAAAAATACATTTTAGTAATGCATTGGAAAAATAAGCTTTCCTTATTCTGGGAACCCTTGAAGCCTTGGATCATGAAAATTGTAACAATAACAATTGTTTTAAATGCATGATTTAGTTTATGGTTATTTCTAAGTATGTAATTCTCAGTAACAAAGCAAGTGAACTAAGAGATGTTAGTAAGTGATCTTTAGAAATAGAAATACATTCTTTCTTTAAGTTCTAATTACAAAAAGTGTGGCAATAAAAATATCTAAAAATGACAACTCAACTAAAATATCAAAAATTTCAAATTAACATTTTGTTATTTATAACTGCTTAAAATAATAGCAAATCTTATTTATTAGTTATTAGTTAAAAATTTTAAATTAACATTTTGTTATTTATAACTGCTTAAAATAATAGCAAATCTTATTTATAAGTTATTAGTTAAAAATTTTAAATTAACATTTTGTTATTTATAACTGCTTAAAATAATAGCAAATCTTAGTTATTAGTTATTACTAACTCCTCAAACATTTTATGTGGTGCGTATTGTCCGAAAATAAAATTAATGAATGTTTGTTTATATAGAGGTGGAAAGTACGTAAAGCTAAGCGGGGGTTTTGGACAGCCGCAAAGCATGAATAAACCACCTAAGTTGTAGGACCCACACGTCACCGGTCAGTTGCGGTCAAATATGAATGGGTGATCACCGGTTGTTGGTCGCCAGGGCATACGGACGCCCACTCGTTCGTTACTTTTCCCTCCAAATTGAGAGAGAGTTCGTTATAAAGAGTCCCCTTTTATACCCAAGGCTTCTATTTCTATTGCTTTAATATTGTGGTCTTTGATGCTTATGTACTCTATAGGAGATACATAAACAAAAAATAAAAAAAAATAAAAAGAAAAGAAGAGGGACAGGAACGGACAAACTAGGGAGAGAGATAGAGAGAGAAAGTGATCTCTTTCTTTCTTTCTTCCTTGAACTTCTTCTTCAGGGTTCAACTTGGCCTCTAACGTAAACATGGAACAGATCAAGAACGAGCAAGTGGACCTGGTAAGCACATTATCCATAAACTATTTATTCTATTCAAAATTTCCGTCTATCTTCCGATCATAATTTAAATTGAGTAAAATCTTTCTATTTAATATGTGTCACAATCTATTCAATTGTTAATTTTGTACATTTTTCATGTTCATAATTTTCAAAACAAATCTAAAATGTTAAGAGGAGTCTATACATATAATACAGGAGATTACAATATATCTATATAACTTTCTAATAACTTCATACAATTATGCATATTGACTATCTCAATTTTTTTATGAAGCAAGCTGAATGGAGAGTCATTATGAAAAAATAAAAAAAATGAAGAACCATCAAATCAACGTGATTCTTTTCTTAATTGGTATTCAACTTTCATTCTTGACCTCTTTTGAAAAGTAAAGGACTAATATTGTTAGATTACTAGTCCGTTAATCAAATAAACACGGTTAAATAATGAAATGATAAACAGGATCATCAAATTATCACTATTCTATTATAAATAATTCTATTATAAATTTATTAATGAGTGATAATAGACTGGATCAAAACTTTTCATGGGTTTTGTGGGACCCAATTATAGGCCCCACATCAACAATCAAATAGATGGGAAGCCAACCCTTTGGCCTTTAAAGTGCTTGGATTTTCTTTTTCTGTTTTTTTTTTTTTTTGTTTATTATCCTTAAATTGTTAGGGATAACAAACGACTTTTTGAATGGGTGTGTAGGAGAATATTCCTGTTGAGGAAGTATTCGAGCAGCTGAAATGTACAAGGGATGGTTTGACATCAGATGAAGGACAGCAGAGACTTCAGATCTTTGGCCAAAACAAGCTCGAGGAGAAAAAGGCACATATCTTCTTTTGCTTATTTAACTCTTAATTTGTGGTAATTCCCTTTTTGATATGTACAACTTCTTGAACAAAAAATTGACCTTTTGTTCAAAATAATTCTAAAACAGGAGAGCAAAGTTCTCAAGTTTTTGGGTTTTATGTGGAATCCCCTATCATGGGTCATGGAGTCTGCTGCTATTATGGCCATAGTTTTGGCAAATGGAGGGGTAATTTCTACTAATAAACTATTATTATTATTATTATCATTATTATTATTATTATTATTATTATATATATTTGTACTTTGTTGATTTACAAGGATAACCATGGAAGTAGATTTGAATAATGCAGGGCAAGCCTCCAGATTGGCAAGACTTTGTTGGTATTGTTGTACTGCTTATTATCAACTCCACCATCAGCTTTATTGAAGAAAATAATGCAGGAAATGCTGCTGCTGCCCTTATGGCAGGTCTTGCTCCGAAAACCAAGGTATCATTGTCCATTCCTATTTTAGATTAGTGAGTCTACTAAATTCAAACAGTTACAAATTGTTTCCGAATATATTGAAGGTGTTGAGAGACGGAAAATGGAGTGAGCAGGATGCATCAATCTTGGTTCCAGGAGATTTGATTAGTGTTAAGTTGGGAGATATCATACCTGCAGATGCTCGTCTCCTAGAAGGAGACCCGCTCAAGATTGATCAATCAGCCCTAACCGGTGAGTCCTTACCGGTGACAAAGAACCCCGGTGATGGAGTTTACTCTGGTTCTACCTGTAAGCAGGGTGAGATTGAGGCCGTGGTTATCGCCACTGGTGTACACACCTTCTTTGGCAAAGCTGCCCACCTTGTTGACAGCACCAACCAAGTGGGTCACTTCCAAAAGGTACTGCCATCCTTTGTGTGCAATTCAATATTGCTGCTATGTTAGTTTCATGTATCTTTAAGAGAAAAAGTTGCTCAAGTGTTTTGGATGGTGGATGATGATTTTGATCAGGTGTTGACTGCCATTGGTAACTTCTGTATCTGCTCAATTGGGCTGGGCATGTTGATTGAGCTCTTTGTGATGTATCTAATTCAACACAGAAAATACAGAGAAGGTATTGACAATCTGCTTGTGCTTCTAATTGGAGGGATCCCAATTGCCATGCCAACAGTGTTGTCTGTGACAATGGCTATTGGGTCTCACCGATTGTCGCAGCAAGGTGCCATCACCAAAAGAATGACTGCTATTGAAGAGATGGCCGGTATGGATGTCCTTTGCAGTGACAAGACAGGGACTCTTACCCTCAATAAGCTCACTGTTGACAAGAACTTGATTGAGGTTGGTTAAAAAAAAAAACCTATTTTACCTGTGTGTGTGTGTGTGATTAATATACTTTGTTGACCAAAAGTTTTATAAATCTAATGAAGGTGTGTACTCATGATTGCAGGTGTTCCCGCGAAATTGTGACAAGGACACTGTTATCTTGCTTGCTGCTAGGGCTTCTAGGGTTGAAAATCAGGATGCTATTGATGCTTCAATAGTTGGGATGTTGGCTGACCCAAAGGAGGTATTTGACTGGACCCCCTTTGTCGTGAACTCTGATGTTCCATGTTAGCAAACTTTGTATCTATTACTTTCCGAAAAAAAAAAAAACCTTTGTATCTATTACATTTGAAGTTATTAACTTTTCCTATTCTACTTTTCTTGTGGGGCTTTTAGGCAAGAGCAGGGATCACAGAGGTGCATTTCCTACCCTTCAATCCAGTGGACAAGCGCACTGCAATTACCTACGTCGACTCTAATGGCGATTGGCATAGAAGTAGTAAAGGTGCTCCCGAACAAGTAAGATACTCCCCCACTTGTGCTATTGTACCACCATGACATTTCGTTTGCAATATCTAAATAACTCGATATTGTACCAGATAATTGAATTATGTGACCTGAGAGGCGAAGCGCTAAATAAGGCCCATGAAGTCATTGGCAAGTTTGCTGATAGTGGCCTCCGTTCTTTAGGTGTTGCACGACAGGTTAGTTACTTGTGTTTGTCAAGTTCTTGTTCAAGAAACCTTTTAGTATAACGTGGAGACATTTTCCTACTGAATTGGATCTGACATTTACAAGGACTGAAGTGGATTTAATGACTTGTTTATCTTTGTAGACAATACCAGAGAAAACGAAGGAGAGCGCTGGTGGGCCATGGGAATTTGTGGGTCTGTTGCCCCTATTTGACCCTCCAAGGCATGATAGTGCAGAGACCATTCGCAGAGCTCTTGAACTTGGTGTCAATGTTAAGATGATCACTGGTGACCAACTTGCCATTGGAAAAGAAACTGGCCGTAGGCTTGGCATGGGCACTAACATGTATCCATCATCCTCCCTTCTCGGTCAGAGCAAGGATGAATCAATTGCTGCCATTCCTGTCGAAGAGCTTATTGAGCAGGCTGATGGCTTTGCCGGTGTCTTCCCTGGTAATTCAATTTGGATTAAACTAAAAAAACAAACAATGCATACCAAATGGTATAAATAAAAAAATAAATAAAAGGAGGGTTGATTTCTAATCCAAGCTAATGTGAATCTTGGGGTATGCAGAGCACAAGTATGAGATTGTTAAAAAGCTGCAAGAGAGAAAACACATATGTGGAATGACAGGAGATGGTGTGAATGATGCCCCGGCACTTAAGAGGGCAGACATTGGCATTGCAGTGGCAGATGCAACTGATGCAGCCAGGGGTGCTTCTGACATAGTCTTGACAGAGCCAGGACTTAGTGTGATTGTGAGTGCCGTGTTGACAAGTAGAGCCATCTTTCAGAGGATGAAGAACTACACCATTTACGCTGTTTCAATCACAATCCGTATCGTGCTGGGTTTCTTGTTAATTGCTCTTATCTGGAAGTTTGATTTCTCACCTTTCATGGTATTGATTATTGCCATCCTAAATGATGGAACTATCATGACCATATCTAAGGACAGGGTGAAACCATCTCCCTTGCCTGACTCATGGAAGCTCAAGGAAATCTTTGCCACTGGCGTTGTCCTTGGAACCTATCTTGCTGTTGTGACTGTGATCTTCTTCTGGCTCGCAGCTGACACCGAATTCTTTTCAGTAAGTTAATGACACTGAACTGGTAAAATCAAATCGAAAACAATTCTAATATATTTAATTTTGCAGAAAAATTTTGGGGTTAGGGATATTAGGGAGAACAAAGACGAACTTACAGCAGCTCTTTACCTGCAAGTGAGTATTGTGAGTCAAGCACTCATCTTCGTCACCAGGTCACGAAGCTGGTCCTTCATCGAATTGCCTGGGCTCTTGCTTGTTGCTGCTTTCATGTTAGCTCAATTGGTAAATCTTGTGGGAGTTATACTTCAATTTTTATGAGTGTCTTTGTTTTGCCCCTTTTGATGTACTTAGTCACATTATCTTTGACAAAGTTTGGTAATTGCTCAATGTAGGTGGCTACACTTATTGCTGTGTATGCAAGCTGGTCCTTTGCTCGGATCCAAGGTGTTGGCTGGGGATGGGCCGGAGTGATCTGGATCTTCAGCATTGTTACCTACTTCCCTCTTGATGTCCTCAAGTTCATCATCCGTTACGCATTGAGCGGCAAAGCCTGGGATAATATGATTGAAAACAAGGTTTGTGTACAAACTTTATATAAATGTCAGAACTTCTAATCACCATATATAACTATAAAAATTTTCATGTACATTTTTTGACTCACCTTTTTTTTTTTTTTACTAAATTTTTTAGACTGCTTTCACAACCAAGAAGGATTATGGCAAGGGAGAGAGGGAGGCACAATGGGCCACGGCTCAACGTACAATTCATGGTCTTCAGAATCCGGAAGGCATGTCGAATGATAAGGGCAACTACCATGAGTTGTCTGAGATTGCTGAGCAGGCTAAAAAACGCGCTGAAGTTGCCAGGTTAGAACATGACTATAGATAAATATATAGATGAGTGACAACATATACATAAAGTGCTTCACAAACGTACAGAACATGCCTGTCACAACTTTGAGGGAAAAAAAAAAAAAAAAAAAACCTCTTATTCATTGCTTTAAAATTGATCAGCCAGGACATGCTTGATTTTTATGTAGAAATTCCTAAAGTAACACACTTGTTGCAGGTTAAGGGAACTCCATACTCTCAAGGGACATGTCGAATCAGTGGTGAAGCTGAAGGGACTAGACATTGAAACCATCCAACAACACTACACTGTCTAAGCTAAAGGGATCAGACAATCAGAACCATTGAACCAAAAGTGATAGAAGAGAAAAAAAAAAAAAAAAAAAATGGACTTCTTTCAATCAACTATTATTTGTCGGCGAAAAATAGAGGTGGTGGGAATGTTAGATGAAACTTTCTTATAGATGACATGATGTTAGAGAAAAATGGGTCACAAGGATGAAATGGATTAATTCCTAAAAGTGTTTCCTATATAAAATATTACAGACTTCTTTTATTATGAAAATATATCGCTTTATCACAGTAGTATCTCCCACTTTTCCTGCAAATTCTTTCAATTATGTTGGAGAGTTCTTCGGTTTCAGTTTGGGGTTCTGGAGTGCACAGCATTTGGTTCGCCCACGTTCTCAACTGACTGAAACTGGAAAAGTGCTGCATATGATGACTGATGAGGGTTGGGATATGTAGGTTGAACTTAGAAATTTTGTATATATTGATTTTAGGTATGTATATAAGATGATTTTGAATATCAATTATGGACACCCCTTTGTTCCCATTTTGTTTTAACTTAATAAGACTTCTTTGATCATGCTAGGTATTTTTAAGATGTGACTTTTTTGAGTTTGATAGTATTGATTTTCACTATTGCAAGGAAATGATATATATATATATATATATGGTGGTCCACAGGGAAGGTCATCCCTCCGCCCCTCATTTCCCTTTTACACTTTCGTCTTAACACTTTCCATGCCCTTCTTTTTTTCCTTTTGTCTTGCTTAATTCCTTCCATTTTTTCTCCCCTGCCAAACGGGATGAACGAATCTTCACCAAGAATTAATCAGAATGACAAAACTTATACCATTAAACTAGTCAAGCTAATGGATTCTGTGATAATTCTAATTTTCAGCATTTTAGAATTTTCTGAAAATTCGTTAATGCAAGGGCAATTTCGCCTTTTCACTTTACCATCCGGGTTTGTGGTTGGGTCCAGTTACATTTCCTACATTTTAATTTATGTGGTGATGTAGCATTTGTATGGTGCAATTGTGTATTTGTGGTGTAATTAGAGACAAAAAAATAAAGAGAAAAGGAAAATAATTTCAAGTGAGGCCCACCACTAACTTATTTGGTCAAGAAATCTTCTTTTCTTTCTCATTTTCTTTCTCTTTCCCGTATGCTCTCTCTCCCTCCCTCTCGGTTCCTTCTCTTTTTCTTTCATTTTGGAGACAAAAACTTTGAGGTTTGATTACTCAATCATCTTTCATCGGATTTAGGAACCGTTTGAGGCGAAACAAAGCTTGTAACGAACTCTACGCATCCATACTATCAATTTCCAGATTTGAGTCTTCCTTGGAGCTTGAATTTGGAGGACCTATTCTAGGGATTTCGGCTTGGATTGTGAGGTAGGAACATCTTAAGCCATGGAATCTTGCTCTATAATGAATCATGTTCCTCTATGTGTGTTATAGCATGTTTAATTGTTGTTGATTTTGATTAAAATGATTTAATTGACAATATGCTAGTTATGTAAATGTGTATAACATGGTTGAATGAAAAGTATGTCTATGTGATGGTTGTTTACATTTTTTTTTGAGGTTACTAACATGCTATAATGATGCCATGAGAACATGCTTATTTATTATTGTGCTAATGTGATACCCCTCGGATCCGAAACACATGTTGATCAGGCCCAGGCTCAAACCCGAGGGAATATCAAACAATTAATATTTTATAATGAATACGGAATACAAAATAAATTAAGAAATGAAATTAAAGCTGGAAGGAACTAAAAATAGAATCCGCAAAATATTATAATTATTAAAATCCATCAAACCCAAACTCCAAAACTCCATCAGTTTACAACTTGGGAATCCATCTCTAGTGGACCCCTATTAAACATCCAAACGGAAGATAGAACAAGTGTAATAAACGTCCAGAAATAAAACTATAGAGAGAGCCCTACATCGTCGGAAGAGTGAATAGAGACCTCTGCTCAGCACGAACACGTCTAAGCCTGGAACTGTCGTGTACCTGAAAAAATAGAAGTGGGTCAGGCACAGGCGCAAGTTCTATACTACTACAATCCAAACAGAGGCCCGATACGCATGTACATCCTAAACAATTCAACAATAGCTAATAGTCCGTAAATATATATATAGTCACACTAAAGGACTCTCACTGGACTACAGGCCGGTCTCAACCTGAATAGAGGTAACATGCTAAAACGCACACGAAGTGGGCATATGTACCTATACCTAAACAGGGTACACCTCCAACCATCGTAGCCAGCTACACATCCCGATGCATATAAGCTCCCTAGCCATCGGTCCTGAGGCTCAAGCTCATACCGAGGCACCATAACAGTACATATATAAAATCCATCCAAAATCCCTGATATTGCCGCTCAACAAGTAGTTGCCATGACAATACAAATCCACGGGACTTAACTTTTAGTTAATCCCATCCTTATTCCAAGTAGGTGGGTAATGGTATTGTTTTAAAAACCAAACCCATCCTTAGTATGCCACCGTCCCATACCGGTGCCTACTTTCCAATCCTCCAGTAGTCAATAATACCAATAAATCAAGTATATATCAACTAAATTCTAACATCCAACATTCAATGTTAGCAGTGATAAAATAAGCATTGATAAACAGGGTCACAACAACAACATATACATGTCCAATTTAAGTTGTTCCCTTTAATCTGATATAAAGACAGAATTAATTAAAACTTCCATTTAACACCTTACAAATGACATACAGATATGTAGGGTATGTATCACAAAATCCTAACCTCCACAGTTGATACTAACTGTGATAATGTAAGCATCAAAACAATATTCACAGTATGTATGTAGACATGCTCAAATTATAGTGTTCCACAAAACTGATCTAGTGTTAAACTCAAATCCTCCTAATATTTAAGTTCCAACAGTTGCTATAACAGAAGTTAAGATAGCTATCATCTAGACCCATCCTTCCAATAATTTATACTAGCAGTGGTAAGGAAAAACGTGAACCACAGAACCACAATGCATCCACAAACATGCTTAGTCTAGGTTGAACAAGCATACAACACTACTGTAACTACCAGTTTCATAGCAAAACAGATATCATTTTAGTTTGGTTTAATCTTCATTAATCCTGGAATCATTTAAGAGTGCAAAGAGTATGAAGCCTAAGGGAAAGAGTAAGGATAGAATCTTGCCTCAGAAACTTTTGTTCAAAGTTTCAACGTCGTCTTCTTAAAAAATCCCGGCGAGTTCCAAAACCCGGTTACTGTTCACGGGTACGAAACACTATTCCCGAACTCAAAATCTAATCTCCACCGTTCAGATTGTGCGACACTGAGTCATGAACCTATCCTCCAAATTTTAGCTCGATCGGACCACGGACGAAGCAGGATTGGATGTTTGATGAAATCTGGGCAGAATGGAAAAAAACCTGTGCGACCCAGTTACTGTTCACGAGTACGAATCACTGTTCCCGAGGTCAAACTTTGATCTCCATTCAAATTGTGCGTCACTGAGTCGTGAACCTCTCCTCCAAAATTCAGCTCGATCGGACCACGGATGAAGCGGGATCGGAGCTTTGATCAAACCTTGGCAGAATGTGAAAAACTGCATTTTTCCTTCTCCACTTCCACAAAACGTGTGCTTTGTTTAAAAAAAAACCCTACACAGACGTCTACCTTATACTTATAGAGTTTTCCTAAACCCTAGGTTCATTTAAGTCCAACTCACAATCCTAACCGGCCCATCCAATTAACGTAGAAACCTACGACGGCTATAATACAAAACCCTAATTTATACTGTAATTAAAACCCTAGTTAGATGTATTTACCTAATTACCCTATTCACCATTAAATACTTAACAAATAATCTAATTGAACAAAATAATAATTAGTAAACCCAATTAAACCAAATAAAACACACATAAAATAAGACACACATAGAATAATTAAACCAATTACACGTAAACCATTAATGCCAATTAAATAATTAAAATACTAACAAGTAATTCCAATAAAATAACTAAACCAATTACACTTAAACCATTAATGCCAATTAAATAATTAAAACACTAACAAGTAATTCCAATCAAATAACTAAAAATAAATATCATTTAAATAAATTAAATCACCACAAAAGAAATAAATTAAATCATCACAAAAGAAAACAATTAAGCACCTAAAAAAAAAAATAATGACACATAATCAAATAAAATGCACTTAAATAATAAATTAAATACCATTAAATACCAAGAATATCCTTTTTAAAATTAAGGGTATTACAGCTAAGTTCTCATTTGTCATTATATTGAGATCATGACATGAGCCTACATCTCATTAGGTTGCATGAAAAAGGGAAGTGGTTGTCTTGAAATGAAAATGGGGATTTGGGAATGAATGTTTTGGAAAAAAAAAATTGGTTTTGACAAACCCGGTCGCTACGGGGTTACCAACGGGCCGGAGGTTAATGTAGCCTAGGGAGGACTAGGGAGAATACCCTAGCGTGGTTGAGCTATTCGGGCCCCTCGACGGCGCCACGGGGTCACCAAGGGCCTAGGGACGGTAGCCAATCCTCCTCTCGTCGCGGCGGGGTTACCAAAGGGGGTTACATTAACTTTGAACGTGATGGTTTTGAGAATGAAAACGGGGAATGACTTTAGCATGCATTGCATCTCACTCCATTTACATTTGTGTGTGATTGAATTTGACTTGTACTTGTAATTATTTTTCCCCTTCAATGCATGTCCCCAATCTCCCATTGGCCTATACTTTATTTGGATTCACTAGGACACAAGAATTGTGTCTTAAGTGTCACCTGCTGAGCTATATGCTCACCCCTATATCTATATATATTTTTTCAGGTCTTGGAAAGGAACTGGTGGATGACAACCCACCTCAAGCTTGAACGGCGTTAGAAGTCCACTTTTGTATCTTTGTATATTCCCCATTATTTTGTAAAACACTAGAAGTGCAAAGATGTATAATTATTTTGTGGAACTTTGTCATGTAATATAACTAAAGTATTGATGATGTTTTGGATGGGGATTTGATAGTATGCAACTTGTTGATGAATGGATGGATAATCCTAGTTTGAAGCATTGTCTAGATTAGTTGGTTGTATCATTATCTTTTGTTGCCGTGAATTTGGAATTTGAGCCATGACAGGTTAAAAATGCAATTAAACAGGTTGTGATAGGCCTATTTTTAGGGGAGGTCATGCCGAATTTTTTTTTTTTTTTGGTTTAAAAAGTATTAGTTTTGAGTCGTTACAAATTTGGTATCAGAGCAAAGGTTCGAAAACCTTTAGGACGACGGGTAGAGGCCTACTTAGGGTCACATGGAATGTTGTTTGTGTTGCTTACTTGACTACTTGCTACATGATATTTTACTTAAATGAGCATGCTTAACTGCCTATGTGCTTACTGCTTACTTGTTTATGTTAAAATGTTTCTTGCATAGTCTTGCATGCTAAGTGTTGTACGGTATCAATTCTTGTTGAGTCGTCCACAGTCTTAGTGTCATGTTTCTGAATCGTTTTCTCGTTTTATAGCACGATGTCACGGCGTGAAGAACCTAGAGAAGTTG